TTGTTTTAGAATATAATCAATAAACTATGATTTTAAGTCAGTGTTTAATTAGATGTGTGAATGTGCTAGAAGAAGTAACAATTCCATATGGATGTTCCAATTTATCAAACAAATTTTTCTTGCAAAAACAGATTAATCTGCCTTTATATTATTGTTAACTTGGTTTTAACTATTTATGTAAGAATAGTAGAATTTGGGCAGTGCTATGAGGGGCAGTCTGATCTTTTTAACACTTCAGACTATGTTCCCACATCTGGAATTCTTGATACCCTCTGAGCTTGGCTGTTTGCTTGCAGATGTTTCATTACCCAAGTAGATAACTTAACCAGTGCTAGTGTGAGGTTTCTCCCTATTTTTATACTTTATTGGGGTATTGTTTTCTGCTTGATTGTTTAGCTGGTATTACGGTAATCGCTGCTTATCTGGGTGTTGACTGCTTGAGAGGATCTGTTGTTGGTTTTTTTTGTTTTCTTCTTAGCTTTCTTATTGCCTCTTTTGAATGATGTGTAAATGTGCTCTAAGTCTTAACTATGATTGAGTCTGTCATGTGTTGTGAGATTTGGGAGTTTTCATTGTGTCTTCTGACTGCTACTTTGTGTTCATGGATGTACTCTGCTAGTTTTCTGCCAATTATCCTAAATAGTAGCTGTTCTTACATGTATATTGTGGATGACTCAAACAATATATAACAGTGGTGGCGAACCTGTGGCACGGGTGCCAGAGGTGGCACTCAGAGCCTTCTCTGTGGGCACGCGTGCCGTCGCCCCAGTCCTAGGCCTTCAGCTGGGTTTTATAAAACCTTTTTGCTTTAGGCTTCCGCTGCCGCTTGCAAAAAAAAAAAAAAGGTTCAATCAGCCAATTTCAACTTCTTGTGGGGGGAAAAAAAGATCTTGCAAAGTTAGAATTGATTGATTGAACTTTTTAGTCCCACCCAATCTGCCGTTACCACTGAAGCCATGTCCACCCAATGGGCCACGCCCACCTGGCACTTGGCGATGCATAAGTGAGTTTTGGGTTGCAGTTTGGGCACTCAGTCTCTAAAAGGTTTGCCATCACTGATATATAACATTGTATATTGTAGAAGTCTATAAATGATGCTGGCTTTACATTGATCTGTTGGAAAGGCTGACCAATATTATTCTATGTGGGGTAGTTTTAATGCCATGCTTAAGAACTAATCAGATGTTTCTTAAGTTCTATTTATTCGTGCTTTATTTGTGCATTTTTTTCTTTATATATTAATAAAAATGAAACCGAAGAGAACCAAGATGTGGATAACTGATCAAATCTAATTCCATTGTAAGCAATGTGCCAGTTGTGATTGTGCAAATGTGTTCTATACTACAACTACTACATTAGGAATTCATGGCTGAGGACCAAAAAGCATTTCCTGGCTACAGATCTGCTTGTCAGGAGAGTACCAACCCCATTTAAAAGAAGTTGAAGCTCAATCTCTGATGTGGTTTCATATTGACCAAAAGCAGTCCCATCTTGTCTGCAAATAATGTTAAGCTTCAGTTCTTCATCAAATTTAGGCAATATTGAGATGTAGACTGCTTTCTTGGAACTGAATAAGAAGAAGCACCATGTGTTAATGGTATCTTACTTCAGGTTTCCAAAGGTATTTCAGTATATTGAACAGCATGGAGGATAAAATGGATCCTTGTGAGAAGATATCATAGGTCATCTGCATAAAACTGAAATTATCTATCACAGCCTACACTTAATCTAACAAAAAGGACCAGAAATGGAAAGCCTAAATCTGCCTGACAGTCCAGAAATAATGATATTGATAGCTTCTGAAAGACTCAGGAAAACTGGTAGGCTACTCTCATTGTGTAATGCCCAGCAGAGGTTGTCCAGCAAGGCGACCAAAACAATTACAGATCCATATCTAGAACCTGGTTTATTTTCACTTGATTTGTTTCCAAATTATTGGACGTTTTTCCCTACCTCTCCCCCCTTTTTTTAAAAAAACACTAATGACTTCAATGGTCCTTTGCTGACTAATAAAGGTTCTCTTTCTTAAAAGTTAAGGTGGGCCTTCCCCTTGTGTTTTTGTCACCCTGCATAGATTAATCAGTATATCACTCCGTAATTTGTGATTCAGCGCTCTATCCAGTAACAGCTAGCACACAAGCACATACAAGATTAGGGCTATGGGTTTCAACAGAAGCATCCATCAATTTCTGAACTGTGTTTATATTGTATTCTTTTTATACATACAATTTACTGGTAGCTTCTACTATTAATTATGTATCCAAATTGGGAACATTTGGTGGAAGAAACTACATTTGGGTAAAACTGACATTCTAATTATAATAATTTTTGTAGCAAGTCAAATTTTGTTTGAATGACATATTTTGGACTAATCTGATATTTTTTTAATTGCCTTGTTCAATATGTTTCCTTAGTAAATGTTACCCCTAGGTATTTCATGCATTTCATACAGCCTGTATTTGAGCTGCTAAAACTTCTTCAAGTATTGGAAAGATAATTCCTGTTTGATGTAAATTCAATATATAACTCAATCCTTGAGTTATGATCATAATTGGGATGAGAATGTCTGTCATTAAGTGATATGGTTATTAAGTGAGTCACTCCATAACTGCCAATTTTTATGACCTTTTTGCCATGGTCAACAAACGAATCACACAGTCATTAAGTGAATCTGGTGTTTCCCATTGATTTTGCTTGTTGGAACCAGCTGGGAAGGTCACAAATGCTTATCAGTCTGAGCCTGGGATCCTGTAACCATCGTAAATACATGTCGGTTGCCAAATGCCTCAATCACATGACTGTAGGGAGCAGTCTTAAATCACTTTTTTCAGCGCTGTTATAACTTCACTAAACAAATGATCAAAAGTCAAGGACGACCTATAGAATATTACATTTTGAATTATTTTGATAACTCAATATTTGGAGTTTAAAAACTACTTGGTTGCAAAGACTGTATATCCAGTATGTCAGCACACATTTAATATATGTGCTTTTTATTTTATTTTAATACCTTGAATTTTTGGTTTGATTAGAGTTGTTTTAGTGTTTGAGAGTTTTAGGAGTGGCAAAACAGCTTGGATAATGAGCAACTTTGCCTAGTACTTTTCCTAATTTAAAATTGCTTAATCTAAATGGCACTGTGGCATTAAACTGGAAAATAATTGAGAAAATAAATATAAAAAAGGGGTTGCCTATTTAATTTAATTTGGGATACTATATATACATTTAGTTAAGTAAGACTTTGGTGAATCAAAAGCCTTTTATATTAAAAATGTTAGTACGGTCTCTTTTTTTAAAAAAACAACAACAAAGTTATATTAAAAGTTTTCCTGAGTTTTGAATGTATCTATGATTTCCATTCAATTTTATAAAATATATTATGGTAGAATGCATCAGATCTACCAGCCATGATTAATTATAATTTAGTAAGTAAACAAATTAAATCACTTGAATTAAATATGAAAGCAAAAAACTTTATGGTTTTATTTACATGTTTTGCAATTATTTTGGTTTATTTACATGTTTTGGGTGTTGTCCTCACTTTGATATTTGGTTGTTTAGGAGTATATTTTTAAAAAGAATTTATAAAATTTAATTCTAAATCCATCATGAGCTGCTGTCATTCTATGATCTGCCTATTAGTTACTATTACTATTAGTTACTATTTAACTTGTTTTTGGATCTTCAAAATTTCCTGTGAAATAGGTTTTATACAGGTAGTTCTTGACTTGCGACTACTTACAAGCCCCAAATTTCCATTGGTAAGCAACACGCTTGTTAAGTGAGTTTTGCCCCATTTTACGACCTTTCTTATCACTGCAGTTTTAAGCTAGTAACACAGTTAAGTGAACCTGACCTCCCATTAACTTTGCTTGTCAGAAGGTCGCAAAAGGTGATCACATGACCATAAGACACTGCAACTGTCATAAATAGATGCCAGTTGCCAAGTATCTGAATTTTGATCATGTGACCATGGGATGCTGCAATGGTCGTAAGTGTGAAAAATGGCCACAAGTCACTTTTTTCAGTGCTGTTGTAACTTCAAATAGTCACTAAAGGAAATAAGTCAAGAACTACCTGTAATTCTTTTTTTCTCATTTTTTGTGAGATACTTCTAATAAATTTAATAATGCCTTTTTAGTCTATGCTTGTTCTTATGACCAGCTTCACTGATGATAATTTGGTTACACATGCTTTCAGTGTCTGAAACCATAAGGCTTACTTTATATTACAGACATTAGTTGGGTTTGCAAAACCAAATAGCAAAGCACAATCACATACACATACCAAGCCTGGGCACTAGCAAGCATAGCAAAATGGGCTCAGTTAAATTAAAATGACTTAAATTAAAATGTCCTAGTGGGTATCTGTGAAGAACAAAATATGCTCTCAATTATTCTATGCAATTCAATGAATCACAGCTAATTTTATTTATGGACAAACAACATTTAGAATATATGAATGATTTATTCGCATCAACAATCAGATATATGAGGTGTTAGGTAAAGTTTACTCTCTATAGTATTGCCAAGCTGATGCTACATCAAAAGTGAAATGTATTCAATATATAGTCCAACATCTTCCAATGGTAGGCAAAGTGCAATAATTCTACCTTCTCTACCTCTACCTCACTCTTTCCTCTATGTTGCCCCAAATTATTTTCATGTCATTGTAACAGCAATCTGGTGACAAGATGCCAGCACTGAATCATCTCAGCTTCTCATGACTAATCCTCCAATTGGTTATTAAGGTCAGACCAACATTTTTACTAATTAAGATATTCCCCAAAAGAAATTAATGCAAAAGTCTTTAGATGCTAGCAGAGGTAACACAAATGTCTAAATTCAACTTGTTTTGAATAGTTTAGGTCAGGGGTGTCAAACTGCCGGCCCATGGGCCGGACGCGTCATCCAGAAGACGTGTTCACCCCATTGCTGGCAATGGCAAAACCGACCCGATATGTTGCGCGACGTCAGGTGATACGAGTTTGACATGTTTGGTTTAGGTGCTTCTTTTATTATGTCAGTCAAATATTTTGATAAATGCACTTCCCATCTCTCATGACTGAAGGGATATCCATCTCTCATGATTCATGGGGCATACTAATGTTTCCAAAGTTAAGGTAGAATTTGCTTAATATGGTAGACTAAGACATATATACAAAATAATTTTGGTCAAAACAACATATTGCTATAAGCAACTCTTCCTCTCAATGTCTAAATTTCTTACTCACAGAACTCTTATAAACGAATAAGAATAGACAGGTGTAGGCCATGTAGGCCCCATTTCAACTTAGATTAACACTTGCATTACAATGCCATTACAGACAAATGTGAACGAGTGCTAATTGGACACTGACTTATTGGGTCAGAACATTGTTATTGTAACTTAAAATTCTGGTCAATCATTTATAAGGCTGTATTACTGGTACTTAGTGCCTGCAATGCCAGTTAGTCTGATGACCAACAAGTAGGAAGCATCTAGTCTGAGCAATAGTTGTAAAGCAAACCTAATCACATTCTGCAGAGTTTCAGTGGAAAGTTCTCTGTGATTAAGTGATCATCATGCAAGAGGACAACGATGTTAACTTCAAATTCTGTGAGAAAAAGAAAAAAAATATTCTGGAATTAGCACAGATTATTAGGTCTACCATCTGGAGTACCTGTAGCATAAATAAACAAAGTTACTAGTATAGCAAAGCATAAAACAGTATATATTTAAAATAATAATAATAATATAAAATAATATGTCCTAAAATATTATTCTAAAATATACCTAGCAATCCAAGCTTTTGCTTTTGCTTAAACTAAACTCATGTTTGGGAAGGGGGTAAAAACACTCTAATGTAAAACTTTATTTGAATAATCATAATAATTATATTGGAGCTTGAAAGCATTGCTTTTCTATAGCAGAATCTGCTTTTAAACAGTTTTCCTACAGGGATCAAAAGTTTCTTCATCTTGATTTCATTTTGGAAGTCGCTTCAAAGCTGAACTCTGTACAATATTTCTGACTGAGCAGAAACCATTTATATTTATATGTTGCTGTTGATACAGCATAATTTTTGTGATGTACTGATATCCTGTAATTTAATGTATTGTTTGTTTTATATTGTTTTAATCATAGATGTTCTTGTTGTTTTGTTTGCTGTGCATATTTTATATTATGCATATGTTAGGAGATGCACTGAATTCAGTTGATACAAGACGTATCAATCAACCATAGGCCTTTATAAAAATTTGTGGAGGAATCACATTTGAAATACCTTTATACTATAATTATGATCACTACAATTCCAGAAAATTGTCAAGAAAAGAAAGGCGATACAATACAATCAAATGCCTCGACAGCACTACCACAAAGAAAGTTAATGAAATCGCAGTTTGTTTTTATCTCAGACAAAAGTCAAGTAAAGGAAAACATGATGGAGGTATGTACAGCTGATATCCTATCAATGGGTTTTTGTTCTACATGCTGGGTGACTACAATGGAAATAAAGCATTAGACAAAGTCCTGTTTGTATGGTTTAACAGTTTAAAATGCAGTTCTTACCAACTTTGAAGTTTGTAGTTTCCAGTGTAGGACATGTAAACAATCTTGGAAAGACCATATAGATTGGAATAGGAAGATTTCTGCAGACATCGCCATCAGCAATCTGAATGTTCTGAATCTCAGTGGCATCTCTAGCATAACCTTCAGCACAGCCTTTGTAAAAACGAGATACAAGCGGCATTCAGAGCCCCCAACTTACTAAATAATACATTATAATGCCGGCAGGTTTAATAATTAAACATTCATCATCAAGATCTCTCTGAGTCACTCATATAGGTTTGGTGCCTTTGAGGAGCTGTTCCAAATCACTCTAGAGCTGCGGGAGGAACTTCAAATATGAACTGTATTAAAAATTAATAAAGTTAATTTAGTATTACACAGATCTGGAACATTCATTTCAATTTTCTGGAGATGGCTTCACTTTGGAATGAATAAAAACTACATCAAAGCTTCAATTATTTTTTATATGAGATTGGTAACTGCCAAATAAACTCCACCAGTTTGTTACTAATATATACCATTATCCCAACTGGAAATATCTGGATGTGGATGAGGGCCCAACTATCCTCTAGTGTCTGTCCAACTATCTAGAATGACAGAAGCATTTGACAGTCACAACTCAAGAATAAACTTCTGATTCTGTTCTCCAACACCAATTTATGCACTGGCAGATATAAAGACATACCACAGGTTTCCACTCGTACCAACTGGAGTTCAATGCTTTTAACAGCAGCATCTGAGTTCATCACTATCAGCTCCCCTGTTAGAGGTTGTGTTATGATGCAGTTTGTTGAATTGAGATGACCTCTTATGAGAAATTTTGGAAGCAGTGCTCTCTAAAGGCAAAGAGAGAGAGAGAGAGAGAGATATGTAATTTATATATGGTAATTGAATGTACAAATTTTGTTTTTTTCACATATTTTCATTTTATAGCATGGCTATTTGTCTCTTATTCTCAGTTCAAAGCGGAAGAGAAAAGAAATTACGTTTTGCTCTTTCATCATCTCTCCTTATCCCATTCAATATCTTTTCTTCAAAACAGAAGTGAAATATATATAAGCAGCAGGTGCTTTTCTAAAATATGTTTAATGTGACATGCAGTTAACTCCTCAGACATTATATCTGTAGGCATAGTTAACTGAACTATAATATACAGAAAACTAGGCACTTCATAAAGAATGGGTTGGATCCATACTTAAGTCATCTTCACAGCATACCTACTGAAATCAGTGAAACCTAAATTAATTATCATAAGATGCAAAATACTTAAAAGAGTAATCCCCTATAGAAGCCTTATATAAAGAAAGGGTACATTCCTCACTGCAAATGAAGAGAATGTTAATGGGCCATTTCAGGAAACCTCCCAATATCTTCTTCAGGAGTCTCAACAACATATAAAGGATATGAGCAAAGGCCTGCTTCCCAAAGCGAAGATCCATTTCAAGCTGTCAGGAACCCTTTGAAAAGCAGCTCCTTTGAGATTTTCTCCCAAGCAGTGATGGCTTTTATTAAGTGCTGGCTCTATCAAACCTAATTTTGCTTAACTGATTTTTTTCCCCACACTGAGAAAGACCTATTTCACACACACACACCATCACTTGGAAAATTAGACGGATTTAAACCCTTTAATAAAAATATTTTCTTCCCTCACTCCATATGCTCCTATCCTTCCTCCAGCTATTTCTATACAATCATGGTTTGTGCAAATCATGGTTTGCCCAGCTCAGATACAATGGCAAGTTACGTTTTGCCACTAAATCAAAAGTGGAAGAAAATTGGAGCATGCAAATGAAGAAGCACATGAGCACCAAATTCTTTCATATGGTTTCAATGTTTGGCCCTGTTCCACTGCTCTGGGAGCATTTTTTGTTTTGTTTTTCTTTTTTCTGCTTCAAGTTAGTATGGATTCCTTGCAACTATCTAGACAACTCCCCGCAGTTTTCTTGGCAAGGTTTTTGGAAATGGTTTGCCATTGGCTCTTTTTTAGGGCTGAGAAAACATGACTGGCCTAATACCACCCAGTTGCTTTCATGCCCAAGGTGGAACTAGAACTCAGTGTCTAGTCTGTTGCCTTTAACCACTACAGCAAACTGGTTCTCTAAAATGGTTCTTACCTCTTTCACATTCTGTAGTGTTTCAGGAGTAATAGTAAAGTCTACAGGGCTTGGAGTTGGCTTACCCTTCTGAGGCTACAAAAGAATGAAAAGAAAGTTCAGAACTAAATCTAGTAGTCATTTATTAGTTTGAGAAAGTGTATATTTGAACTCATATACTTTATGTGTTAGAAGAGCTAGAATAAGTCACTACTAGAATAGTCTTGCCAAGAGGTTAATCAAGCTTCACGTGGATATACTATTTGAAGCATGCTCTAATCAAGCTAAAAAGTAACATCTAAAAATTTTCTATTCCATCTAATGATAATGAAAAGCAAACTCATATTATAACTCATATTATAACCAAGGCCAGGCTAGTATTTTAGGGCACTGAGTGTAGCATCAACTATACCACTGATGGCGAACCTTTTAGAGACCGAGTGCCCCAAAACCGCCTCGCCCCGGCCCTCCTGCCCGCAGGGCCATCCACCACCTCCACAGCCCGCCACAGCAGATTGCCCAGGCAGCCCAACAGTGTCATGGTGGCCATGCACTCTGTCCGCGCCCCATAGCATCATCTGTACGCGATGGGGTGCGAGGGCGGAGTCTTGTTCCCACTGCTCGGCTGCCATGTCCTTGGCTGCACTGCTCTGTGCAGGCTGCGCCCGGGGTGACTTTCCTCCGGGGGGCCTGCTGGTGAGGAGGGGGCTATGGGGAGTGGCGGGGCTGGGGCGATGACATGCATGCCCACAGAGAGAGCTCTGAGTGCTGCCTCTGGCACCCGTGCCATAGATTTGCCACCACTGAACTATACCTACAGTATGATATTATACTGTGAGCTCATTATTAAGCTCAAATTCCTATCCTTGTTTTATTTATCAGATTTATGTTCTGCTTTTCATTCAGGAGCTTTGAGTGACTGGCTTGAAGTTATTTTGCAAATTTCTATGACTCTGTGGCTTAGAATCTGGGTCTCTGCTCTTAGTTCAATATTTCCCTTTACAACACACTGACTACTGCTGGACCTATGTAGAACTTCTCTACCTCCTTCTTCAAATGTATGTGTACATGAACATTTATATATAATTTTAAGTCATGCAAACACTGATAGAAAAGTAGTAATTATGTTGCCTGCTATAAGGAATACATGCTTGTTGAACAAAGTACAAATAGGTATGTAAACCTTGTATTTCTTCTCTAAAAGTAAGTTGATTGAAGTCAGAATGGGATTTTCTTTTTTAAAAAAATGTATGCTGAAGCAAGAAGAGATAAAATTAAAAATGAATGAATGCTGAATGATCATAGATGACCTTGGATACCAAACATGATTGATATGAAAGAAATATACTGATGTGGCTTAATCATATAGACCGGGGGTGTCAAACTGCCAGCCTGCAGGCCGGACGTGTCACGAGGAAACCACGCCCACCCCATTGCCGGCAATGAGGAAAAAGTTCCGATATATCGCACGTCATGTGATGTCGCAAGTTTGACATGTCTGATATAGACAATGAATTAGCATCAAATTGTGAAACAGCTGTATGAAAAAAGAATGGATGGGAAGACTAAGAACGTAATGATTGAATGCAGTTGTTGAGATTCTGAAGGGATCTTCACTGTCAGGATTAAGAATGGGAGGCATGGTGTTACATTGGTTCTCTCCGTTCCTCTGCAGTTGGTTTCCAGTTGGTGTTGATGGGGGTGGTAGTGCTTGAGCCTGAGGCATGACTTGTGGGGTGCTATAGGTTTTAATGCTTTTATCCTTTCTACTTAACATCTACATGAAGCACCTAGGTAAAGTAATGTCAAAACAGGAAACACAACCACTTGGTCTTGTCAACGGTAAATCAAATCTGTTCCTACTTATCCAGACCCCAGCAGTCTTCAGGCATAGAGACAAGACCTTAACAGCAGTGGCAGAGTTGACGTACACAACTGGGTATTACCTACATGCCCTAGCCCAGTGGTGGCGAACCTATGGCACGGGTGCCAGAGGCGGCAGTCAGAGCCCTCTCTGTGGGCACACGTGCCATTGCCCCAGCCTTGCCTCCGCCCGCAACCTCCTCACCAGCAACCCCCCTGGAGGAGAGTTGCCCCCAAGTGTGGTCCACGCGGAGCAGTGCAGCCAAGGACATGGCAGCCAGGCAGCGTAGACAAGACTCTGCCCTCCCACCCCAACGCGCATAGTTGACGCTGCGGGGCGCGGGCAGAGGGCATGGCTGTCATAGCGCTGCTGGGCTGCCTGGGCGATTTGTGGCAGGCCCTGGAGGCGGTGAGTGGCCTTGCAGGCAGGCAGGGTGGGGCGGAGTGGGAGCGGGGCAGGGGGTGTAGTGGGGTCGGGGCCAGTGTTTGGGCACTCGGTCTCTAAAAGGTTCGCCATCACTGCCCTACCTGAATTCTTAGAAAATTTAACATCACATAAATTCCGGAAAATGCAGGGAAACATGAACTATGTTGCATTGGTACCTGAACCAAGGAGCTCAAGCTTTTGCATACATATGAGTTTCATTCTGCAGAGAAAAAAATAGCTATACTGTAGATCTGCTTAACTGCATTAAGTTCATATGCTCCTCTGGGACTTTTCTATACAGTCCAACTACAACAAAAGCAATATATTCACAAGTGTCTAGCAATTAATTCCTAAAAGCAAACTTACTGGTGAATGGACAATATATTCGCAAGATTTTGTCAAATCCTTGGCCAGGAGAGAACGTCGCATATCACATCGAAGAGTATACTATACAAATATGCAAAACAGAAAGGTTATTATCCTCCTCATGAAATAAAAAAATAAATTTTTATTACTAATTACGGTACTTTAAATTTTGTAAATTGGTATTTTATTTATTTGTACTATAATTTGTATCTACATTGGAAATGCTGCCTAGAAATGCATTATTTCAAAATGTTTGTAGTTTAAAGTAAGATATATTCTAAAAATCTTCCAGTTCAAAAAAAGTTTGGGCATATTGCTGAAAATCAAATCCAATGAAAACAGGAATTAAAAAAACAGCAAATATAGGATTTCAATCATCTTTTGCTACTGGGCTAAATTTAATTATCATCTCCTTAAAACTATAGTAATAATAAAGGCACGATTAGAAATAAAAAATATTGCAAGGAAGAAGGGTAAGCATAGTGTTTTTCGTAAGACTATGTTAATGTCTTGGATAAATTTGAATAATCTGCAAAAGGAAGGGAAGCAAATAGTTTTGAGACACAACTTTTTGCAGTAAAATCATTAGTTCAAAGGAAACTTCCATCATAAATCATAGTGAGTTTTGTTAGTTAAAACTTCCATATGTTTAACCAATAAAAATATAGTAGATTAGATTAGACACTGAGCCATATCAATTCTGAATTAAATCTTTTGCCAGAGAGCTTCTGTTATGCTATACTGTAGCTTACAGGAAGAAACTTCCTTTGTAGAGGTTTGAGCTTATGTTAGGTAAGATGAATCTCATTTAAAAAAAAATCAGATTGTACATTTCTATGAAGAACCTCCTCTTCAGTATTTTTCTGATTTGCTCGGATTTTTAATTTGCTTCATTTTAAATAATGGAAATATGAAGAAAGTATTTGAAGCTGCAGTTTTTCGTAGTTCTTTGGGGATTCTTTAAACCTAAATAGACCAAAGAACTCACGCCATCAGACAACTCTTTCTTTCATTCTTTTAATGGCATGAATTTCCTTGGCCTGATCTTTAAAAAAATTAAAGCAATTGTGTACAAGCACCATAAAGAGCAAAGTTTTCTTAGACTATCATCTATTCTCACCTGGATATTGACAAAAACTCCATGGTAAGTTTCATAAAGAATTTTGCCTCCTTTTACTTGCAGTGGGAACTCAAAAGGAATTTCTGTTTTACCACTAGGCAGTTTTCCAGATTTTACCATTTCTACTGTATTAGTAATCAGTTGAATAGGCTGCAAAAACAAACAAAAAATTAGAAAGACTAAATGTTAATTGTCCTTCATTTTTGGTTGCAAGCAAAAAGCTTATGAATTTCTGAAAATGCACATTTTTAAGGGTATCTTAAGAAATAGAGCAGCAATGCTGTCCATTCGGGTTGAACTCTTTGAGATTACAGAGGTATAGTGTGGACTCAATTGCAAACAATGCTAGACACTGTCTACACATTACATTAAATTCGGCACAGACATTCTATATTCTTATATGCTCTACTGAGTGGGGAGAAGTTTTCTGCATCCACCTGCTCTGGTCATCACTTCCTCCCTTTCATACATAAGAGACAAGAATAGATAGCAGATAGTATCTATGAAGCTTTCCAAATGGTGTGGTATATGTATGTATGTGTTATGTGTGTACATACATATATACCTATATACACACGCTGCTCAGTCAGGCAGCTTATAAATTTAAAAGATACACACATGCATATATACAATCTTTTTCATTTGTACATAACTGCTTTCAAAAATAGTAAAAATAAAAAGGCTTATGTTACATCTGAAATAATCTGCATAATCTAATTGAAAAATTAAGACATGCTCACTGCTCAAAATTCTCAAGATCCAGTTAAAATGTCCTCCACCCTTCCACTTCAATATTTATGACTAGTCTGATCAAGACTGCATTTCCTATCATATAAAATGAAAAAGTATTTTTCCCTCTTCTGAATAGTTATTTCTTTAATTTAATTTAACTACTAAACTTTTAAATCTTACCTGGGGGAAATCTAATAAATGTTTATAAAACACATTAAAAGAAAATAAAAAGACATTAAACAGCTACTTTACACGGTTACTAACAGAAGGTATAACACTATTTTTAGGAATTAAACATTATCTTTTGTGGTGAAAGAACCTCAAATAATGGACAATGTTTTAAATGTAGGGACACAAGGATAGGTTTGTTGGTATAGTCACCATCCAGCTCATTGTTTTTTCCTATACTCTTTCTACCTATTTCATTAACTGCGATCTACTAAGATAACATGAAGCAATTGTTTTGGAAAAGAATCTTACTTATTCATTACAGGCAACTTACTAGTCTCAGATAGACTACAATATTTATGCTTACTACTGATAGGCAAAAACCATAAAACTCAATTTATAGAGTTTGCTATATATAACTATTAAACTAATTATCTGTACCAAAAAATTAAGGTTATTAAGCTTATTTCATAATAATGAAATAAGCCCAGATAGTAAATCAGTTGTAATTAAATTTGTGGGCTTATTCCAACCCCCCAACTATAACCTATTTCAGAAAAATGTAAAATTCTCGTGTCAGAAATTCAGGAAAGGGGGAAATTATTAATTTAAATGTAAAAAGATTAAAAACTTTTATAATAAAAGCATAGATTTATATGTGGCCACATTGATGAAAGGGATATTTGCAAGCAAGTCATTATGGGTGCATGTTGATCCCAGGAGGTAGTGTAAATGATGGATAGCTTTTTGAATAGTGCCACATCTGCAATAAATATTCTTGTCCTCTGGGAGAAACCCCCCATTTTTCCAAGTGATCTTTAGTTCTAGCCAAATCAATGGACAATCTATTTAAACATCTCCACACTGTGCTGATAATGGAAGTATATGGTTTTGATGTTGGAAACAGCGAACAGAAGCATGTAAAAAAGAAAGTGTACTTTATGCTTTGTTTCAATGATCATGGATATGCTCATCCCAACATATTCACTGGCTAAAATACAAGATACTGTATAGAAATGCAACATGCAAGAAGTATTAAGAATAGTAAACAAAAAAAACCCAAGTATCTAGGAAGTATTTTTTTTAAACTTTATTAAATTTATATGTCCTCCCCCTGCCCCCCACATAAAATGACTCTGGGAGGCCTTCAATAAAACCAACTGTTAAAACCAAACATATTTAAAACCAATATTTAAAACCAATTAAATAATTAACATAAGTAAAAACAAGATTGTGAAAGGTGCCATATATGGTGCTGCAGGGGATGACCAGACCTGATTAAAAAAAACACATTCTGAAGGCTTTCCAAAATGCCATAAGGGTTGGGGCTAACCTCACCTCAGGGAGAATGATGTTCTAGACTAGAGAGTGGGTGCCATAGCAGAAAAGACTCATTTCCTGGGTCCCATCAGCTGTAATGCCTTAGCAGCTGTGACATGCAACATGCCTCTCCTGCTGAACCTGATGGGGTGGGTAGAAAAAATCAGGGAGACATGATCTTTTAGATAACCTCACCCCATCAGTAACCAATACAATTCATGGAGCAGAGGTGTAACAGTGTCCTAGGAAGATCCAAAACTTCCCATGCTACTATAGTTTGCACAAGCTGAAGCTTCCAGATACTGTTCAAAGGCAATCTGATATAAAGTCCACTGGGAGATTACCAGGTGTAATTATGAGTAGAGCTTCATGATCTAGGAATAGGCACATTTGCCACACAACACAAGGTTGCCTAATGGCTCTCCTGGCCATGATTGCGTCTCTTCCTTGAGCAGGAGTCAAGTCAAGAAGGACACCCCAGATTGCAGACCAGGTCAGTTTGGAGCAGTGCAATTTCATTCAGTGGCAGAAATGGTAAAGTCTCCAAATCCAAAGGCTCTAAAACATAAAGCCACTCATTCTTTCTTGCCAGGGTTCAGTTTAAGCCTGTTGCTCCCCAACCAGCCTCCAGACATCAGGTCAGGACATCAAAAGCATCACTTAGTTTGTCAGAAGCAGAGATACAGTTGATTATCATCAGCATGCTAATAATATCTCCCATAGTGACAGATGATTTCTCCCAGCAGTTTCATATAAATGTTAAACAGGAGAGGAGAGAGCACAAAGCTCTGTGGCAGCCCACACAGTAGGGGTTGAGGGTGGGATCTCTCACCAATAAGCAACACCGACTGCTACTGGCACCATAAGAAGGAAATGAACCAGCACAATATGATGTCGCAAATTCCCAATCCCTAATACCAATCCAGGAGGATACCATGGTCAATGTTACTGAAAGCCACCAAGAGGTCAATGACACCCAGTATGGATGTACTATCCCCATCCTGCTCCTGAATGCTGACTGAAAGGGATCCAAATAATATGCTTCATCCAGGATCTGTGGAAGCTGCTGTGTAATCACTTTCTCCACTTCCCTAAAAAGGGAAGGTTGGACACTGGTCAAAAGTTGTGTGGTATGGTGGGATCCAGTAATGGTCTCTTGAGGAAGGGTGGGGGAGGGTATGAACCAACAACCCTGTAAGAGATAAAGGAACAACCTCTCTTTCAAGGATAAATTCAACACTGCAAGAACCCACCCTCGTCGTCCCAAGCAGCCTTGGTCAAACAGGAGGGTCAAAATGACCGAACTCACAGTTGTAAGGACCCTTGGGCCCAAAAGACTCAAACTGTTCTCAGATAACAAAATAAGACTATGTTCCAGGCATTTCCACAGGACTTGAATCAAAGCTGGAGTCTAACAGGGAACAAATTTGAGTGGGTTCAGGTCATCCAGAAAAAGGCCACTGGGCAGAAACCAATGAATGCAATAAGAGCAGAGAAGTATTGTGATTTCATTACCCTTACCACCACAAAGTAGATCTTAATAGCAACTCTCATCTGTGTTTGAAGGAGTTCATCCTCTGTTGACATCCAGAAGTACTCTAGATGTCTTCTCTCCTATTTCATCTCCCTCAGCATCTCCATAAACCATGATGAGGGAGTGATGAGATCCATTAGAAACAAGAGATCACATGGGGCAATCTGATCTAAGGCTAGAGCTGGCATCTTGTTCCAAATGGCAACTAAAGGCCTTCACTGGACCATGCAGTAGATCCTCTGGAACACTCTCCAGGACCCTCTCCAGGGTTCCTTGTGGGTCAATTGTCAAGGGTGCATTGATCTAATAAGTACAACCTCTTTATATTTATATTCTTCTCATATAAAGAACACTGTTAAAAAGTGCTCCATAATCCATGATTTTTATTGTTTGTACCTTAACAGAGTTGCAGAATGCTTCAAACACACCAACACTTTTAGCACTGAGCTGCAGATTTACAGATCCATCCATTGTTAATGAGATTCCCTGATGCTGGATTGAATCTTTACTTGTTATGACCACCACTCCAGTGAGAACTTCCTAATTGGGGAAAAATTGAGAACATCATATGAATCAGTTTGATGCTACTTCTTACATTTTATATATTATAATTTAAGTATAACAATACAAAAATTATTCAAGAAATACCAGTACACTTAGTATGTCAATATATTGCATGGACTTTCTTGATTAGTTAGAAGTAGGTAATATTAATATAATATTATATTAAGCAATATTTTAAGTAATATTAAGTTGGCTTGCAAAGGTACTCTTCGATTTAGGTATCTTAGATTGCATAGAATAGTGGCCAAAATGTGCTAAAATGTGCATCAGCATTGTATCCTTACAATTAGCAGAGAATGATGCTAATGCTATGGCATGACTCTAGCTAAATCTGATCACCTAATTTACTCTTCCTTTACTGTATCCAAATAGTTTTATGCAGAAACCTCTTGTATGATGTGGCAGAGATTAATATCAATGGACCATTTGTTGACAATAGTATATGGAACATGGCAACTTGAAATGCAAGAGGGTAAATGGCAAAGATCACAAATAAATGAATAAAATGAAAGAATGTATGTATGTTGGGCATTGATTAGTAAAGATAATATTTCACCTTTTCATTCAGAAACTCAAGATAGTGTACATAATGTATTCTCTTATTTTTTCCCCATAATAACAATGTGAGGTAAGTTGGCTGAGAATGGAATACAGTTTAGTCACCATTCGTATGCAACACAAGAATATATATAAATCAAAATGGTTTTGTCTAGATGTCATGCATGTGCATATAATAAAATTATATAAGATAGCATGAATTGGTGCTATCTACGTTGCTATGGATGTATATTAAAATAGGAATTCATAAGGTGGTGATAATTGCTTATTATAATTCAGTAAATAATGATAAAAGGGATTGGGTCATGTGGAATCCCAAGAATGAATAAGAATGGTATTATTTGATGTGTTTACTTAGAAAAGTCTTTAAAATACACAGTAATTTGGTTTTCTAGTTAAGGCACCAGGCTAGAACCCAGGGGTTAGTGCAGGGGTAGGCAACCTTGGCTCTTTTATGACTCGTGGGTTCAACTCCCAGAATTCCTGAGCCAGCCATGCTGGCTCAGGAATTCTGGGAGTTGAAGTTCACAAGTCATAAAAGAGCCAAGGTTGCCTACCCCTGGGTTAGTGAGTTCTAGTCCTGCCTTAAGCACGAAAGCAAGCTTGGTCACTTTGGGCCAGTCACTCTCTCAATGCAATCCACCTCACAAGATTATTGTGGGGAAAATGGGAGGAAGAAGTATTATGCTTGTGGTTTTAAGTTATTTATAAACAAATAATAAAGGTGGAGTATTAATCCATTAAGTTTATTCATGAGTACAGAAGATAAAGGATTGAATAGTATGGCTGAGTTGATTCCTTAGGATGAAAAATGTAGAAAGTTGGTGAAAGCTACAAGGGTTATGAAAGGTTCTAAATGTAGGAGAGATCATTGTCAGGCAGCGTTAAAACTGAATCTTTGTTTTTAAAAATGATATAGTAAAAAAGGAGAGAAGCTAAACACCATAGTGAAAATCAAATGTCTGCAGGAAGAGAAAATATGAGTCCTATATGGAGACATTTTGGAAGACAGATTAATCTCTCATCAGAATGAATGGGGAAAAAAAGAAAGAGAATATGAAAGCTACTTTGAATAGAATGATAAATAATGTTGTTACAAAGTGCCACCAAAGCATTCAGTTACAACAATGGAAAGTATGAAAAAGGATGCTTGATGGAGTAAGGAAGTGAAAAGGCTGTTAATGAGAAAAAATAAATGTTAAAAGAATACTTCATAAAATAAGCATGCTACAGGATATTTTTTAATGCATATAAGAAAATGGAAGGTCAAAATAATGGAATAAAAGCAAGGAAGGAATGGTTATGATTTAAATAGTTGGATAAAGTATAGAATAATTTTGACGATGAAACAATAAAATTTTTTTGGAAGAGAGTGAAAAAATAAAGAAACCTGTAGAATTAATATATTTAATATGAAATAATATTTAAAAATTTGTATGGAAATTATAGTAATGTCAAAAGAAGAATTGAAATAAATGCTATAAGTATCTAAGAAAAAACGGTTGAAAAAAAAAGTAATAAGTATTATGAAAATGGTAAACTGCAGGCAGAGATGGTATAACTGGAAAATGATAAAATAGAGTGGTTTGCTTATAAAATGATTGTGCAACGTTAAACATTTATGTGAAAAATGCATTTGAACTTAGTGTTTGGAAAAATGTTTTTCTTATTTCCCTATTTTAAAAAAGGTAAAAGGCATGAATGGCAAAACTACTGAAGAATTAGTTTAAGCAGGCATGTAAAGGTGTTTGGCAATATTTTGATTGAAAAGATATCTAAGGGGACAACATTTGAGAAATGCAATGTGGTTTTATGCTAACAGGATCTCTGGCAATGAGATCTATATGAATTTGAGAAAATTTACTGTACAATTCTTGATCAGAAAAGTATACAATAACATGTATATTCTTGATGACAGAATGATTTGCATAAATCCTAAACAAGGCAAAAATGATTGATGTGTGATGAAAAGAAAGCATGTAAGGAAATAAATTGAATACTTAGTGAATCACTTCGAACAAGAAGACAAAGATGTCCATTTGGTTGTTCATTGTATATATGAATAAATATTAAAATAATGTGTGTGACATTAAAAGTGTATTGGCTATGGACATGAATATGTGTGTATGTTTATGTGAAGACAATGCCAAGAACAAAAAGGATTTCAGAAATATATCACATAGATAAAATACACCATGGAGTACATACCTGAAACAAATTAATAAGAGATTATAATTGTGCTTAACATAAATTATTCAATATTTCCAGTAAACCTTAGAAAGTACAATGCAATGAAGTGAATAGTTCTGAGAATTAAGTGTGCAGTTCAAATCTATATACTGGATCAAATCCATAATCCATATTTTAACAAACCATGCATAGCATATTTCAGTGTAAAAGAACTGTAAACAATTTAAACAATTTACTCTGAAATTCTGCTCCTATATCACTCACATATAAAATAATGTAAATTAATATAAACATTAATATAGAACTGCAAATAATTATCAAGGAAATATTTTGAATTGAAATGTTAGAATCTTTGGCCAATCCACAAAGTCTGGGATTCAAAAGGTAGGGGCACTAAAGAGGTATCCTTAGGAGAATTTTCTTTATTGGTTTTATGGGGGAGGAAATGTATTTTCAAAGACAGTGAACTATATGCAGTATTCATTTTTATACTACATTTAGTAATCTCATTGCATTATTTTAAGAATGCAAATGCAATATGCATTTGATTTACTCACACAATTATCATGGTTAGTGCATTTATTAAATGTAAAAGTATAATTTATTCAAACATTGTTTTTGTTCTTTTCATTTAAAGTTTTATTTTTTTCTAATAAATAGAACTACAAATTTCAAGATTCTGAGAAACCTAAGTATCAATTTTATCATTTGGATAAGCTGGGGAAAAAAAAAACTTCAAGACATAATAAGCAATCTTCATGTTAATAATTAGTTATTTTCTTTCAGCCTTGTCAAGAACAGATTCACCAACCCCTAGATTGGCAACATAAAAATCGTAAACAAAGCAGGCACTGAATCCTCCTTCTTCCTTTGGTGGAAAACCCAAAGGCTGCTGAGGGCAGGAAAGCCTCTTTCTCTTGCATTGCAAAATTGTAGCCCAGTTTCCCTATACAGGGAAAATAATGCTTCATGCACTAAGTCAGTGGTTCTCAACCTGTTTAATGCCGCGACCCCCAACCGGTCGTTAAGTCGAGGACTAAACCGGTCGTAAGTCGAGGACTAAACCAGTTGTAAGTCGAGGACTAAACCGGTCATAAGTCGAGGACTACCCAACCGGTCGTAAGTCGAGGACTTTCCCTGCCCGGGAGCGCCGTGCATATGTGGTTCCGCCCCCTGCACCGGCCGAGGCGTAGCTGGCAAACGGCAGAGACAGAGCAGGCCGACCACCAGCTGGCCCAGCTCAAGGGAGGTAAGGCACCTGCCGGAAAAGGGGAAAAAAATGGCGGACAGCCTTGCTTGGCGACCCCCGTGAAATGGTCGATCGACCCCAAATGGGGTCGCGACCCATAGGTTGAGAACCGCTGCACTAAGTAAAATGTCTGCTTGCTATAAGTTAATAGAAAATATTTGAGAAGGAATAAAGGAGCACTTCACATGGCCTTTTTATGGCATTTATTTATTAGTAAGTTTGTTATTATTAGTCCAAAGTTTTTCAGTTCTGCCAATTTATTAGCAATCGCCCCCAACTGTCTTTTTCTTATTTTGCAGGGGACAAGGGGAGTCTGAACCTTCACAACTCTATCGCCTGTTCACCGCCCTGAGTCCCGTAAGGGAGATAGGGCGGTATATAAATTCAATAAATAATAATAATAATAATATCTTGGCACAGAGAGAAATATAACTCCTTTCCAGCAAGACTCAATGCCAGTGTTCTTTTCAGTCTTGGCAACTTTAAGATGAGTGGACTTGTTCATTGAGGAATCCTGGGTGTTGAAGTCCACAGAGCTTCAAGTTGCCAAGGGTAAAAAACACTGCTTTACACAACAGGCTCCAATTCTGATCTTCTAAAATCTTGAACAATCTTTGTTACCAGGAACAAAGCCTTCAACTCCAGGACTCCTAGTACATGTTTTTTTTCCTATGAATACAGGAGTTGTTCTCCAAGGCCATTGTTGCACTTCATAAATTCAATTTATGACTCTGGAGAAAAAAAACAGAGCCTATAAAATGTTAGGGTTATCCCCAACTTAGTTAATGATACCAAAATGCTACAACAGTTTAAACAAAATGTATAACCTAATTCTTACAAAACAGATATTCAGGTGGCAAAGCGATGTTGTGTAAAGTCTCCTTTAGAATGTAGCTAGGTTACATACGGAACTGAACGTCCAGAAAAAAAAAAATCCTGCACACAAGATGTCAGGAAGACGTCTTTTTTTTTTTTCCCCTTCGTGAACGTGTCCATTTTGGTCAGGCGGGCATCTTTAATTCCTCTCCCTCTTCCAGGAGGAGGATTTCCAGAATCATCCGACCGACCGCGATCTCATCTGCTACTCCAGACGCTGACGCCCAGATCCCACGGCTCCAGAAACCTGCGATCCTAAGGACGCTACTTCCAAAAAAAAATAATAAAAAAATAAAGAAAAACGCGACTGGAAAAAAAAAAGAGAGAGAGCTGAAAAACGGCTCATAGGCGCCGAAGTCTTCGGAAATGCCACCAGTTAATCCCAAGGAAGATCGTGACCAGATTTCAGCGCTCTTTCTTGCCCAAATAAAAAACATCCCTCCACAGCGCCAGATTTGTACGGCAGCCCCTGCAGAGAGAATGCTCACCCCGCAGTGATACACCTTGTTAGCCCGCTTGATCTTGATGTCCAGCGTGGTACCCATTCCGACGACGCCCAACCTCGGGGGGGGGGGCACTCAGATCACGTGGCTTCCCAACCGGCCCTTTCCACGTGACTTCAGCCAATTTTTTTTTATTTATTTTTTTGGGAAGCGGGAAATAGGAGAAGCTTGTATGGCCGAAGTCCGTTTTCTTTGATTTCCTTTCGTTGCTGACTCCACCCTATGACAGGGCGGGGCGCACCGACTGTCACATCTGACTCTCAGTCCCGTTGCTCTTTAAGGCGCCATTTATTATTTCGGACTGGGCTCGCGGGCTGCCTCGTTCCGGTAGCCCTCGCTCCGCTTCGCCCGTGTTTCGGTCCCTGATCAGCAGAAGACGTGGAGGATTTTATGCGCGCATGCGCGCTTTTGTCTCCCCTGGAATTTCAACACGAGACTCTAAATGGGGAAAGCGAGGACGCCAACGAGAGAGAAATCAAGGCCGCTCCCTCCGCCCCGAAAGCCCATTTGGCAGGGAACCCCATTTCCCAGCAGGCATTGAAAAGGAAGTTATACCTACCTGACGTAACCCGCATGCGCCGTGTAGGTGATGGTTACGCCCATCTGAATGCCGTGTTTCGTTTTACTTTTAGATCAGGGGTTCTCAACCTTGGCAACTTTAAGACTTGTGGACTTCAACTCCCAGAATTCCTCAGCCAGCTTTGCTGGCTGAGGAATTCTGGGAATTGAAGTCCACAAGTCTTAAAGTTGCCAAGGTTGAGAACCCCTGTAAATTTAGATGTATGAATGGCGGCTGGTGTAGGTTTTTGTCTGCTAAAAAAAACTACTTATTTTTGATGAAAAACAAACCGGAAGCGTGTGTAAGATAATTACACTTTTGGATTTTAATAGTGGCTATCAAAATAACAATATCGTAGTTATCTTCAAAACGAAGGGCGATTGACATTTAAAAGCGGGTCCCTTGAAAGCAGATTTCTTCGGAAGTAATCGTGGGCAGGATTACGCTGTAAAAGGTTTTAGCTGCAGCCTTATATACGGATTTACCTAGAAACAACCTTTGTGACGTGTGCTACTTCATGCAGAAAGGAACCTAAAGGCAACAATTTTTTTATAATGCGTTTAAAGGATTTGAGAAAATCCCTTTGCTTTTGTTCTTTCAAGAAATCTGATTAATTCCTACATTTCATTGTAAATTTCTCAAAGGCCTTTTCTGGATGATTGACAGAAATGAATTTTCGGCTTTTGTTGTTCTTTGTGCATTTGCTCCTAATCCATTGATACCTAGCAATCTTAAGTGTACAGGAAGTCCTTGACTTACAATAGTTTGTTTAATGACCAAAGTTACAACAGCACTGAAAAAAGTGATTTATAACCGTTTTTCACACTTAAAACTGTTGCTGTATCCTCATGGTCACGTGATCAAAATTTTGATGATTGGTTATTTATGACAGTTGCGGTACCCCGGGGTCATGAACATTGTGATCACCTTTTGCAACCTTCTGACAAGCAAAATCAATGAGAAACCAGATTCACTTAATATCCACGTTATTAACTTAACAACTGCATTAATTTACTTAACAGCTGTGGCAAGAAAAGTCACAAAATGGGGCAAAATTCACTTAACTGTCTTGCTTAGCAACAAATTTTGTCATAAGTTGAGGACTACCTGTATAACTTTTTAACAATGATAGGACATGTTCTAGCAATTTTGAATATAAATTAGAAAACTTGTTGGACAGTTCAGTGGGATGAGATGGCTCATAAATGAAGAATGTTCACCAGTTCATGCATTGAAAAAAAATGACATATGCCTGAATTCCAAATATCTTAAGGGATGTTTAGAATGATACTTATTTATTAGCCAATATGTATTTTAGTAAGTTCTTGAAACATAGTAATTAATCTTAAAGAGTTCAGTAATTAATCTTAAGGGTGACAATGCCTTTATCAATTCAGCTTTCACATAGAAGAAAACAAATATACTGTTGCTAATGTTGTAAAACAATTTCCTGTCCAAACTCACATCAGTGCGTGCTGGCATTTCTAATGATGGAAGTTATCAGCTAAAAAATAAGACTGCAAGTAATAGACACTATAATAAACCACACAAAATGTATAATAAACTCACAGTAAGGATCCTGCTGGATTAGGCCAAAGTTTAGCAGGCACAACAGATTGCCACAGTGGGCATAGTTATCAATAAGAGGAGCAAGTGATTTGCTTTGATAGCTGGTGTTAATCATTTTTTTTAAGAAGTCTGTCTTGGAGAGCAGCCATCTTGGATAGTTTTCTAAGCTACCTTTATCCTGCGTATAGGCCAGTGGTGGCGAACCTATGGCACGGGTGCCAGAGGCGGCACTCAGAGCCCCCTCTGTGGGCACGCGCATTGTCGCCCCAGTCCTAGGCCTTCAGCTGGGTTTTATAAAACTTTTTTACTTTAGGCCTCCGCCGCCATATGCAAAAAAAAAAAAGGTTCAATCAGTCAATTTCAACTTCTCACGAGAAAAAAAAAAGTTCTTGCAAAGTTGGGATTGATTGAACTTTTTAGTCCCACCCAGTCTGCCATTACCACTGCAGCCATGCCCACCCAACTGGCCACGCCCACCCAATGTGCCACACCCACCCGGCACTCGACGATGCATAAGTGGATTTTGGGTTGCAGTTTGGGCACTCAGTCTCTAAAAAGTTCGCCATCACTGGTATAGGCTGTCACTTCTTATTTTTAGATAGAATTGTTATGGGTGAACTAAAGATCTGAGGAATCTATTAAGAGAGATTTTCTGTTCCTGTTTCATACATGGTCTGGATACAATGAATAGGTTATAAATTACATTAGTGTTAGGGTAGCAGGGAAGAAAGACTACACCCTTGGTTTTGCACATCTTTTTTTAGTATAAATTTGGGCTGCAAAAATTTGGAAGACCACAGAGATTTGCTGCAATCTAGTAGTCTCCCGGATTTTTTCAGTCCAGGTCTGGTAAACTATACTCAAGTTTCCCACTACTGGCGATCGTAAGAAAGGGATAACTTTAAAATTAGAATTTTGTTTGACACAATAGTCTGAATACTATGTTTTAGTCCTTTAGCCAAATAAACTTCATTGGTATTTAGAATAATGCCCACAGATTTTTCTGCTGATATAAATGACTGGTAGGGCAGACTATATCCACACATCAATTTAACTCTTCTCTGTAATAGGAGTAGGGAAAACAGCCTTCTCTTTAGTTCAGCTACCATAATATTTAACAGGCCAGAATGGATTAAATATGATTAATACTCATTATAGTGTCTAAAATGGAGGATTTTGAAACCATTTAATAAAGATATTGGTCTAGAAGTAAAACAATACATTGGATTCAAATATGTTGCCTAATCTTCTAATCCTAAATATTGTAATCCTATGAGACGAAATATTAGCTGAACTGTAAAATCCATTCAGAAAAATAATAAAACTATTATAAAATAGATGTAAAATAAAGAAGGATCTCACCAAAGCAGAATAAAATTGAATTATTATTGGCTGTCCTATGCATCTCGTTCAAAGGTGGGACTTTTCAAGATTACATTATTACATTACCGTATTTTCCCGAAAATAAGGCCTGGCTGCAAGGTAAGTGGGTGCAGGGTGCGTGGGGTAGCTCCACACACCCCATCTCACCCTAGCTTGTTTTTTAGGTCTGTGCCTCGCCCCAAAACTAGAGCTTATTTTTGGGGTAGGGCTTATATTAGGCCCACCCCCAAAATCAAGCTAGGGCTTATTTTTGGGTAGGCCTTACTTTCAGGGAAAGATGGTACTTAGTAAGCATTGACAACTTCCCAGATTCAACTCTTAAATTCTCCATCTGCTGAAGGAACCAGGTCAATTCCAGTGTTCAACTCCAAGATGACAGCTTCTGCTATCCAGTACCCTATTCACTTCGTCAGAATTCAAAGGGTGAAATTAAACTCAGAGCATCACAAGTCTTTACTCCTGTTATTTTCATAGATCCTGCGCATGTGGAATGTCCACATTTCCAAATAGTTGACATTGAAGAATTGCATCCTTCTCTGCCTAATAATAATTTATCCAAGAAACAGTTCTTGCTGATGTTTTCTTGGTCTTGACAATCTTTGTAGCATATTCATTTTTTTATCTAATGGGCAGAAGGATTAACCTTGAGGAAACGGAAGAAGAGTCAACCATACAAGGGTCAAATAAAAGAGGGCTGAGTCCAGGTCGAATAAGTATCTTAGACAAGACCCACCTAGTTCTCACGAAGATAAAGGAAGGGAGGGGGAAAGCATATCCAGACTTGCAAAATTCTGTTTATATAACCTTATAATAAAAATATATTAGCATGTATGATTTTGGTTTCTTAGCCTGTTCTACTGTGAAGGGCTGACACATTTGCATATTGCTGAGAGAGAGCTCCTTTGCCAGGGTTCTCATAACACTCTTACTTGTCTTGCTATTTCAGTTTCCCTTCTTCTTATGCTGATGCTGATGTAAGTCTCCTTTTGTTTTTTAGTATGTTTTTGAATTCCTCCATAGTATTTTACGGCTTAATAGTGTTATGCAATCCCAGCCAGTAAGACTGGATTCAAATGCATATTTCAATGCTCCCCCTCCACCCCTGAGTTTAAAAGGTTTCATAGATGCTGTCAAAAAATGGGATATGGTATCAAAATCTGAGTTAAATAGTTCAATGATTATCAGTAATAAATTGTGATTTTTTAAACCTACTTTCCAAATGCAGCAAGAGCTTCGGGAATTAAACTATGAAAACAAAATAAACTGTAGAGGATTGAAGTCTGAATAAGAATGAATAAGGTCCAAATAAATGGTTTTTGATCATAATATATCATTATCATTACAATTTTAACATTCTGTATTGCTGGATTTACTGTGGTTCTTATTTTATGTTTATATGTACAGATGTCTATGTAATGTAAGCTGTGTAATATAAGAAAATTATTTACAGCCTTCCTCTTCTTGTTAGCTGGTTATAAAAATTGAATTTTAGTCACAACTTTTTTGGGGGTCATAATGACTGATAAAAAGAAAGCTAAACAGCTTGATCTTCTC